AGCCAGATTTCAAGGTGTCGCAAGAGGCCTCAAACCGTTCCCAGGAATCCGTTACCTGAAGATGGCCTCAAAGCCGCATGCAAGCCTTCAAAGCGCCACAAAGAGGCCCCCAGGGGCCTCCCGGAAGCCCCAAAAGACTCCCAAGAGGCTTCATAGAAGAATGGTCCGCGGAATGGGGGATCAGAAGAGACAAGAAGAGGCAAAAGTAGAGGCAAACCGTGTTATGGCAGTGGCGGCACTCTGCAGACCACACACAACATTGAGGCAAAAGAAGATATTGGGAAAGCTCGGGGGAGTCTTCAGCACCCGCTTCAGACACTGGTCGATGAACATATCCTGCGGCAGGACACAGCACTGCATGACAAACTGACCCACGATACAACACGTATACACACAAGTTGCGATTCAGCCCTGCGTCATGGCTCACGCTGCAAGATCACCGGATAATAAATACGTTCGAGTGTCGACTCACGTGATTTCTTGTACAACATACTTAAAACGCCTCTCGAAATACGTTTCTCTCCTGGGCTTCGAGTTGTAAAGGAACGGCTCGTCACGAGACGAAAGTGAACATGTCGTCGCAAGGGTGCTTGCAGTGAAGAGGAAGAGGCGTTTATGATGAATGGGAACCCAGCAAACAAGCGAAATTCCCCTGATAGACTGTCCGCCTAGGTGCAAGCTCGACGCCGCGCACAGACAAATCAAAATTTGACAAATCGCTTGGTCACGTGCGCCTCATCATGTATTGGGTGCCTGCTGCTGATGCCGCTGTGTCTCTTGCCGGGGCCTTCCGATCCCGAGAGCGCCCCAGCAGCGGCCCTGGAAATCAATCGCCGATGCAGCGCACATCCCCCTCAGTACATCCCCGTCTCCCTACTTGTCCGCGATGTCTCTCGTCCATCCCGTCTCCTTCGGTGCGTCACCCCTCCCTGTCGCACCTCCCGGTATGTCGGTGGAGCGGGCAAGACGTTCCGCCTGAGCCTTCCTCACACACTTACTCCAGATTTCGTAATAAAAGGGAGGGGGTCCGGACCCTCAAAGACAAGCCATTTCAGACCTCCCCCGTGGGAGAACCCTCCAAAACATCGTCCCCAGACCCCCCCAGGCCCTCCAAGATAGCCTGGAAGAGACCCCCCCCCCGAAATGAGACCCCCCTCCCTTTATTACGAAATCTGGAGTACCGTGCGGACATGGCAGTCCGCAACAACTGCATGGCTGGACGGGGCGTCTTCTCGGGAGGGGACTCCCGCCGCAGCTCCGCGCGCACTCGTCGTCCAAGGAGGCAGTCGCTTCAGGGACGGAGGGGCTGGTTGTCGGCATGTTGCTCTCGCCCGAGCGCCGCGCACGTGCGCCTCCAGACGATGCAGCAGTGCCCAGGATGGAGGGCGGCCCTTTGTCAAACGACGGCTCTCGCCTCGTCGTCGCGCGCCGCACAGTGCAGCAACGTTTAATATATAAATATATATATATATATATATATATAATATATATATATATATATATATAGGGATGGAGTTCAGGTGGTTGTCGAAAGGGAGCTCCCGCCTTAGCGCCGCGCACGTATATGTTTCAACGCTGGATGCGAATGGAGATAGGAAAATGCGTTCGCCATGCGGTTATCGCTCGAGACTTCCCCACTCGCAAGGACCCGATGCTTCAACACATGTAGCACTGCACGGATCAAAGGAGGTTCCTTTCACATTGAGATCTCGCTTGAGACGTCCAATAAATCTATGAACAAATGGTAAATGTGTGCACAGGGTGGGGGGTGGTCCTCTTTCTCCCCGGACAACTGATCGGACTGTATGATCATAGTTGCTCGCATTCTTGAATACGTGACAGAAGGATGCAAGGCCAGTTCTGTTCAAACCGGTGCCTTCGAGAACAGGACAGGCCCATGTAGTGCTGGTCTTCGAAAGAGGGCGCTTGCCGTAGCGAGAAGGGAATATTGCACGAACGTGCGAGGAGGGGACCAGGGACGGGTGGGTGTAGTGCCGCATCGCTGACACAACTTGGGTCCTCTCAGGAACGTCATCAGGCTACTCCAGATTTCGTAATAAAAGGGAGGGGGTCCGGACCCTCCAAGACAAGCCATTTCAGACCTCCCCCGTGAGAGAACCCTCCAAAACATCGTCCCCAGACCCCCCCAGGCCCTCCAAGACAGCCTGGAAGAGACCCCCCCCGAAATGAGACCCCCCTCCTTTTATTACGAAATCTGGAGTACATTTCAATGCAACGTGCCCTATAGCTCGGAGAGACCGTGCGTACGTAAAATGTGCCCACCGCCGGGGCCCCTTACACGTACGGCCCCCTGCGCAGCCACGAAAAGCCCAGGAACAATCCTCGTCACCTGCCCTTGCAATCCTCCTCCTCCTCCTCCTCCTCCTCCTCCTCCTCCTCCTCCTGCTACTCCGCGACCATTTTGGTAGGGAGGCCGCTTCGCGCCCAAGCCGCTCTTCGCCAAAAAGAAGCTTTGGACGCCCGAAATGGGTACGGAAAACATGAGCACAATGCCCGCCAACAACTGTTGTCCAGAACCAACAGCGGCCGCTGTTGGGCAAGAGGCCTTCTGTCTCAAATGGACACAGACCGCGGCGGCGCGGACATTGAGTCCCGTTCACAATTAACAGCAACTGCTGCTTGGCATCTCGTATTCCTCCTCCTCCTCCTCTCCTCCTCCTCCTCCTCCACCTCCTCCTCCTCCTCCTCCCCCCCCCCGCCTCCATCCTCCTCCAACCTCCTCCTCCTCCTCCTCCTCTCCTCCACCCATCATCATCATCATCATCAACATCATCATCATCATCCCCCCCCTCCCCTCCCCCTCCCCCTCCTCCACCTCCTCCTCCTCCTTCTCCTCCTCCTCTTATTATGTTTCACCTTCATATTAGTATTCACCGTATTAGCATGTTTCTTCTTAGTATTAGTATCATTAGTCTGCTTTTCTTCTGTTACCAATATGAGCATTACTATTCTTCGTCGTCTTCATACTATTAAGATTATGAGTAGCCTCCTACCCTCTCCTCCTCTTCCGCCTCTTCCTCCTCCTCCTCCTGCTGCTCCTCCTCCTAACCCATCCCTCCTCCTCCCCTGCTCCTCCCCCTCCTCCTCCTCCTCCTCCTCCTCCTCCTCCTCCTCCCCTCCTCCTCCTCCTCCTCCTCCTCCCGCCCTCCTCCTTTCCCTCCTCCTCTCCCTCCTCCTCCTCCTCCTCCTCCTCCTCCTACCTCCTCCTCCTCCTCCTCCTCTCCTCCTCCTTATCCTCCCCTGCCTCTACCTCCTCCTCCTCCTCCTTCCTCCTCCTCCTCCTCCTCCTCCTCCCTCTCCTCCTCCTCCGCCCTCCTCCTCCCTCCCCCTCCTCCCTCCTCCTCACTCCTCCTCCCTCCTCCTCCTCCTCCTCCTCCTCCTCCTGCCTCCAATCCTCCTCTCCTCCACCTCCACCCTCCTCCTCCTCCCACCCTCCTCCTCCTCCCTCCCCGCCTCATCATCATCATCATTCATCACCCTCCTCAACCTCAATCCTCATCCTCATATCCCATCATCCTCATCGTCATCCACATCATCACCTCATCCTCATCCTCTATCCCATCCTCAACCTCATCATCATGATCATCATCATCATCCATCATCATCATCATCTCAACATCATCATCATCATCAATCATACATCATCATCATCATCCTGCGCGCCACCCGTGCCAGAGAACGTTTTGTGTTCGCAGGCCAGGCGAGAGATCACTGAACACGGACCGACTCATGCCAAAGAGAGCGGGCAGTGGGGGAGGAAAGGGAGCAGGAAGGAGGACACACCACCACCACCGACGAGGAGGGGAAAAAGGGGAGGGAGGGCGGGCGAGAGAAAAGGCTGCGGAGGCAGATAAAGATGACCTTATCCAGCAACTCCGAGATGGACATTGATGTCCAGCGGCACTCATTCTGCCCCAGGATGAAAGTTCAAGAACACCCATCCTGCGCGCCACCCGTGCCAGAGAACGTTTTTGTGTTCGCAGGCCAGGCGAGAGATCACTGAACACGGACCGACTCATGCCAAAGAGAGCGGGCAGTGGGGGAGGAAAGGGAGCAGGAAGGAGGACACACCACCACCACCGACGAGGAGGGGGAAGGAGAGGGACCCCAAGTCCCAAGATGGTTACTGGCAAAATGCCGTCAAAACGATTAAATGGATATCATTTGTTGCACACGGGCCAGGTGCAGGCTCTGGACAGTACGCATGATTGCGGAAGCAAAGCAGTTGGCCATCCTCCTGGGGTAACTTTGCGCGACCTGGGTCCAGAGCTTTCCAGAGGCTGGGTCGCGACCAGTGAGGACGATGTGGGGCTTGAGCGTGTGAGCGCAGATTCCCCCTCGCAAATTACACAACTTGGGCAAGCGGATTCTGAATCCGCTGCACCACGCCTGGACACGAGTGCGTTTCCTCCATCGGGTCCCGAACCCGCAGAAATCAAAAACAAGGCTTTGAGAGCTAGGGTGAGAGGCGAGTTTCAAGAGAGGGGGAACAGACCACAAGAAGGAGGAGGCAGGGTTCTCGAGGAAGGCAGGGGTCCCAAGACGCAGACATGCTCGAATGACTTTCAGAGAAAAGATAGCCTGACTGTTGCCGTGTCGTGCCGCGGCCAAGGCTCGGCCCTGGAGGCCTGGGAGCCCCCAGATTGCATTTGGTGCACGCAGTCTACGCCAGCTGGATTCTGGGGGGCCGTGGCGCGCCTGGGACCACGTGTTACAAGGGGTGCCGAGCCAGACGGCCAGCACGAGCCCTGAGGAGACCCAGCCGAGAAGGGTGCGTTGGATGACAGGCCGATCCAAATCAAACCACGGACGAGAAACGATGTCTGCAGCGATCACACCATACCCCAGATTTTTCACCCCTCGGCTGAGCCCCTCGGAGCCTGCAAAGAGCTCTAGAAAACTATGTCGTTTGTTGCGACGGGCAGCCGACAGCGCTGCCCTGAGCAATGAGCGCATTCGGGCGGCCACCTGTCGATCGCTCAGTCTGCCCTCAGAGCACCCTGGTTGCCTGGCAGCACGGGCGGGCTCGGCACCGAGGCCAAGCCGGCGAACACGGCGGCGAGCAGGGACGAGACGTGGTTGCCGAAGGTCACTACCAGCGGCGGTGCCTTGCTCAGCTCCGAGACCACCCTTGTCTGCTTGGCGTACCGTTTCAGGGTCGAGTCTGACGTCACGCGCATCCTGAGCTTTGCCTCCAACGGGGTCCGCAGACGGTGCAGGATGTCGTGTGACACTCCCCCGTGGCGAAGCCCGTACAGCGTGATCCCCAGGTGCGTCAGCTGGAGCTCTGCCGCCGCCTCCGCCAGCTTGGTCGAGAGGTCCCCGGGCGGGTAGTTCCAGATGCGGTCCGTTGACGACTGGCACCGGCGCTTCAAGACCAGGAGGCAGGGGTGCACAAACGGGATCGAGTCCAGGAGCACCGCGTCGCCCCAGCTGTTGGTCTTGCTGGGGTTGCCCAGCTCCGCCGGCGCCAGCAGCAGGCCCCAGACGTCCGCGGCCCCTCCGGCCGCCGCGACGGGGGCGACCAGCTGGAGCGACGTGAGCGAGTCGCATTCGCCTGGCCGAAGGTAGGCCGCGAACGAGACCAGGAGTGCCACAGCATGCTCCACAAGGTTCCGGTGCAACAGGACGCCAATGATCGCAGCCAGCAGGACCCAGGGCAACGGCATCCGTGACCGGCGCGGCACGACTTTGCCCCATCCTGCCAGGGCCCGCGATGTGCGCGGGAGCGCAGCAACGCCCCAGCGGCCGAGGTCTGGGTAGAAGAACTTCACCGCGGCGACCAGCTTGCTCGCATCGTCGCCAGTGAAGCCCCCGAAGAACAGCTTGTCCAGGAACAGCACCAGGCAGAGGTCCAGCTGCTCGTAGTTCTCCCAACCCTGGCGGGCTGCCGTGGCCCACTGGACGAAGGCCAGGGCTCGGCGGTGGTAGTCCTTGTACGTCGCGGGCTTCACCGACCGCCCCTCCAAATAGGTCAGCTGCTGCAAGGTCGGCAGGGCGAAAGGCGACGGGGGCAGCGGCAGGCAGCGTCGGCGCGCTGCCGTCTGAACCCCGCTGGGAATCGCAGTCTGCCCCGCCTGCCACGCGTGGGCCTCCGGCTGCAGAGTCCGCGTCGTGTATGGGGCCGTCCTTGATGAGGCTCGGGAATGGCGGGACGGCCGGCAGAGGCTCGGCGTCACCGTCAGCAGCCACAGCACCAGGAGCAGCAGCCGAGGCGCCCGGGTCGCGCGCCTGCTTGATGAAGAGACGACCTCGGGCCGAGGGATTGCGTTCAGACGGAACCCATCGGACAGAAAGCCTGACCCCGCAAGCCAACGACAAGGCGCAAACTTCTCGAAGGACGTCTCGAATCTGAAAAGCCCCCGACCGCCCTTTTCCCACTGCGAGAGCCAGCCCGAGGTTGTCGACGAAGACGAGCAGCCGTCGCCCGAACGCCGAGCGGCTCCGGAGCAGGTGACGAAGAGCCGAAGACAAGGCCAAGCCCTCGAGGCGGAGGATGTTTGCGTCGGCCCCCCATTTGAAGCTCTGGACCACCTGCCACCGGCTGGGATGCATGAAGTCGGCGTCGACGGGGTCGAACGAGCACGCGTCCGCGTGCGCCTGCAGCAGTCCAGCGGTGAAGCCAAGCTGCTCGTCCTGGAGCGCCGAGTCGGACTCGGTGCCCGCGCCAGCGCCGACGTCCGGGGCCGCGCCCTCGGCAAGGAAGGCGTGGGCGCGCGCGTTGGCTGCCCCAGCAGCGCGGTAGCGCCAGCGCTCCGCCACACGGCCGAAAGAGGCGGCCTCCGACACCTGGCAGTGCCGGCGGCATACCCCGCAGCCCCAGTGGGAGGCGTCGCTGGCCGCGACGACGCTGTGCCAGACGGCGTCGGTGCGGACGACGAGCAGCGGGAGCAGGCCCATGGCCGTCGTCAGCTCCTGGCGAACCGAGAGCCACAAGTCCAGCACGCGCCCTTTGCCAGCCTGCGCGAAGGCGTACACGCTGGACAGGACGGAGAGCGCGGACCGCTGGAGCAACATGACCCACGTCAGGTGGCCGACCAGGATCTCCATGACGTCGCCACTGCAGCGCCCCTGGGAGAGCAGCTCGGCCAGAGCTACCTTCAGGCGCCACACTCGCTTCCGCGAGACCCGCACAGTATGGTTCACACCGTCCAGCTCGAGCCCAACGAAGTTCACCTTCGACGACGCGCCGGTCTCCTCGTGCGCCACGAAGCCGGAGTCGGAGAAGGCGCTCGCCACTTGCTGCCCAGCGGATGCAACGGCCTGGCGGGGCCCGCCGAGCACCAAAAAGTTGTCGACGTAGACGGCCCCCTGCAGGACAGCGGGGGCCAGCGGCGACGCAGCCGAGCGATCGCTGAGCAGCCGATCGGCGGGCAGGCCCCCTCGTCGGGCGCCCTCTTCAACCACGAGCTGGCAGAGGTGCAGCGCCCAGCTCCAGCCCATGGGGAGCACTGCGAGGTGCGGGGTCAACAGGTCTCCCGGGCGAGTTGGGCGGCCATCCACGGCCGGGCAGCCAACGGCACCAGCTCGGACCGTCTTCAGCCTGAAAGCGTCGCCCAGCTCGGCAGGGATGGCGATGGCGTAGAACGCGTTCTGGATGTCCCCGGCAGAGAAGTAGCACACGTCGCAATCGGCCGACTCGATCTGGCTGAACGCGGCCGCCATCGGCAGCTGGGTCCGAGGCGGAGGAAGGAAGTCCAGGTTTGCCCACCTCGTGTCGAAAATGATACGCTGGGCCCCGCTCTTCTTGGCCACCATGAAGATGCCAAGCGACGGCGGCCGGCCAGTGGCGAGGGCGCAGCGCACCATGCCACGGGAGTGCATCTGCTTGACGAAGCCAGCGTAGTTGGAGATGGTGCGGAAGGCTGGGTCGGAGTAAGGGCGCACCAAGCCCAGCTCCATCCTGAGGCGGTCAGCGTCAGCGGCACTGCGACGCGAGTTGGCCAATAGATCCCTCAACCATGTGTGGTGCTCCGGGGCGAGCGCGTCCGACAGCTGCACTGGCGCCGCGCCCGTCTCGGGCCAGGACACGAGGTCCTTGTTGTAGGGCACGACCGGGGAGGAGTCGCCATACGCGATGGCATTCCCACAGAGCTCGCGGAGGCCCCCGCGGGCGCTGACGTCCTGCGGCTTGGGCCCCAGCGCAACGCAGTTGTCCAGCACGCGCTCCTTTGCGAGGGACTGGGTGACCGTGTCCAGCTGGGCGGGCCCGTCGTAGGAGCGGCCAGCCATAAAATTGAGGGACTCGATAGCGTGGTTGGCGAGCCTAGCGCTGTGCTGAAGCCGCTGACGCCGTCGCTGAATAGCCCGGGAGCCGCCAGGCAGGCTGGCGGGCACGACGAGCGGGGAGAGAGGGAAAATGTCTCGCTGACGACTGGCCACCATGTTGGGCCAGGAGCGAAGGGCCTGCACTGGGAGCTCCCGCGCGCGGCCAGGGCGCGGGCAGCAGCCTTGTCCTGTCGAGAGGCCCCGCGGCTCACGAGCCGCTGCCGCGGCCCGGCCGTGGCCCCCGGCCCGGCGGCGGCCTCGCGAGAGCCCTCTCCTCCCGCGCCTTGCGGCGCTCCTTGGCCACGGCGTTCTCGGCGGCGACCTGCTCAGAAATCCACTTTGCCAAAGCCGGGCACACCATGATCCCTCGAGTGTTCTGCAGCCCTGTGAAAAAGAAGCTCTCGTCATGCTGGCCATCAGGGCCCGACGACCCAAGCAGAACGTCTTTGAGCTTTTCCTCGCACAATTGGATCTGGCGGCAGATGAGTTCGAGAGCGGCGATGTTGCTGGCGTCCAGCTGATCGTAGCACAGCGCGGTCTGGAAGATCTTTGACATCTCCGAGTGAAGCAGCATGACGGGATCGTCCAGCCCCAGGCGGCAGGCGGAGCGGAAAGCGATGTGGTGCCCGACCGCCGACCCGCCATTCTCGAGCATGTAGTTGGCACACCACAGGACCGTACACGGGCCAGGCACGACCCAGTCCGGCCAAGACTGCTGGCGCATGGCTCTGACCCCCTCGCGGAACTCCTTGTGACGCCGGCCCTCCTGGTCGTAGGTGACGGCCAGCGTGCGGAAGTCGTCCCCTGCAGCAGCTGGTGGAAGCCCAGCGCCCCCTGCGAGAGCAGCGTGGAGGCCTTCGTGCCCAGCCGCAGCGGCGGCGGCGGCCGCGCCGCCGCCCATGCCTCCTGCCGCGGGGGCCCCCGCTGCTGGGCCAAAGGCGGCTGCAGCGCCAGCAGCTCCAGCACCCGCTGCGACGTACGCTGGAGCAGGAGCCCCGGGAATGGGCGGAGGCGCCAGAGCACCGGCGAGGCCGGCAGGCCCGGCTGCAGCGGCAGGTGCGATGGGCGCCGCTGCTGCAGCGGCCGCGGCGTGGCCCAGCCCGGCAGGCACGACGGCATCGGCGCCCCCTGCGGCGGCCAAGGCGGCGTCGTGCTCGGCGACGAGCCTGAGGGCTGCAGGGCGCAGCGCGTGGTAGTCGGCGAGCGTGAGGGGCTGCGCGAAGTCGTACACGGGGATGCCTGCAGCCGCGGCCGGCGGGGGCCCCCCGCCAGGAACCCTGCGATACCAGGCGCGGATGTCCGTGTTGGCGGGCTCCAGCTCCTCCACGTACAGATCGTTGTCGGGAGTGACCACCACTGCGTGGAGGGGCTGAAGCTGAGAAACACCCACCACAGTGCGGCCATGCAGCAACGGAGGGTCGACCGCATACTCGATGAACAGCTCATCACCCTCTATCATTTAATCACGCCCGAACCACGCGGCTGCTGATGCGCTCGGCTGCCCGCAGGCAACACAGACGGCGCTGGCCGGGGCGCCGGTGGAGGCTGCTCCACCAGGGCGCGTCGGCAGCACCCCAGCCCGGCAAGCAGCCACCGAAGCGCCTCCACGAGCAGCGGGCCCGCGAGCGACACTGCAAGCTGCTGCCCAGGCTCCTGCCCGGCCCCCGCCGAGCACTCCTGGAGCAAGGCGATGCACTCCTCGATGGAGGGCGGCCGCAGCTCCACGATCGGCTCCGCGCACGGCGGAGCAGGCTGGACCCAGGCGGCGCAGGCCTCGGCTGAGGGCGCCTCTGGCTCCAAGGGCGCCTCCGCAGCCGGCGGAGGATCGGGTGGTGGCGGCCCGCCACCAGAAGGCGCGAGCCCGCGCGAGGCTGGACCGAGGGCGAACCCGGCCAAGAGGAGGGCGATCGATGAAATCCAGGCCTCCTCTGGCCGCATCTCGAGAGAAAAGGCTGCGGAGGCAGATAAAGATGACCTTATCCAGCAACTCCGAGATGGACATTGATGTCCAGCGGCACTCATTCTGCCCCAGAATTAAAGTTCAAGAACACCCATCATCATCATCATCATCATCATCCTCGTCGTCCTCCTCCTCCTCCTCCTCCTCCTCCTGCTCCTCCTCCTCCTCCTCCCTCCTCCTCCCTCCTCCTCCTGATCCTCCTCATCCTCGTCCTCCTCCTCCTCCTCCTTCCCCAACTCCCCCTCCTCCTGCTCCTCCTCCTCCTCCTGCTCCTCCTCCTCCTCCTCCTCCTCCTCCTCCTCTCCTCTCCTCCTCCTACTCCTCTTCCTCCTCGCCCTCCTCCTCCTCCTCCTCCTCCTCCTCGTCCTCCTCGTCCTCCTCGCCTCCTCCCCTCCTCCTCGTCCTCCTCGTCCTCTCTCCTCCTCCTCCTCCTCCTCCTCGCCCTCCTCCGCCCTCCTCCGCCCTCCTCCTCCTCCTCCTCCTCCCCCTCCTCCTCCTTCCTCCTCCTCCTCCTCCTTCTCCTCCTCCTGTTCATGTTCCTAGTCCTGTTCCTGGTCCCCCTCCTCCTCCTCCTCCTTCTCCTCCTCTTCCGCCTCCTCCTCCTCCTTCTCCTCCTCTTCCGCCTCCTCCTCCTCCTCTTGTTGACGCTGCGCAGACTCAAAAGGGATGGGTTGTAGCGCTCTCTGGGGCGAGAACAAAGAAGGCACCCTTGCCGATTCAGGCATAGCGCGACCAGGTAAGCGTGGCCGTCGCAGCAGGAAGAGGACAGTGCCGAAACGACAGGCATACAGATGTAGGCCCGCATGGCAAAAGTATGCGTTTCCCCCTCCTCCTCCCCATCCTCCTCCTCGCACGTGGACAACAAAGAACTCAGCAACATTGAGGTCGAGACCGGAATAGGCGCAGCCTCCGATGAGCACGTAAACGCTGCGGCAGCCAACGCTTCAAGAACCATAGCACCGGCATCTCTGTCCCGCACCCGTCTGGCGCTTCACAACGGACGAACCCCAAGAAAACTCGACCATCATCTCCTCCACAGACAATCCCAGGCGATCCATTGCGAGCGCTGGCTTTGAGGTCAACAGGACTGACCTGCTCTCCCAGAGGAAAGCCATGATGCACGACGCTGGCGACATCCTGGGGAGCCGTTTGAAGAAACCACACCCACATCCTCTCTAGACGAAGCAATCTTCTCATCCATCTCATTTCAGATCGTCTGACATTCAGCGGCAAAGCTGGACTGCACTGCGCCCCCAAGGCTCGAGACAGAAGAACCGAGGCGGGATTGCATCTCAGCGCCGACATGCTTTAGCTTCTCATCGATGGTGCTGGGGACCCCAGCCGTTATGTCGCCCACGCTTCCAGGTAAGCAGTCGCTACCACAAAAAATACTAAAACAATAGTCTGGGGACTAATTTTTGAGTATGGTTTGACCTTTTTGGGGTATTTATATATATATATATAAATAATAATAAAAACAACAATTGTTCGTCGAAAATCCCCCTGTAGGGGGACAGGCCCGACCTAACTGTAGTGGCAACAGCGGGCTGCATGCGCTGCAAGAGCCTCCACTGCCACCTCCTCAGGAGTCGAACGACCACAGGGGCCGAAGGAACAGGGGACTGTGCATCTGCCTCGAGCTTCGAGCGCTCGCGCCGCCTGCCACATCATCTTTGAAAAGCAAATAATCCCAGGAAGACATCGAACAATCTTAGGAAACAGCGAATAATCTAAGGAAGCAGCGAATACTCTCTGGAACAAACGAACAACATTGTGACTACTTAGCATGGCCGCGAGGCTGGGGGGTTATCCACATCCACCGCCTGGGAACCGACGCCCTGGTGCCCCAGCGGGCGGTGGATATGGATATCTTTGGGCCCCGGGGGGCCAGAGCATACCCGTATCCACCGCCCGCCGAGGTCCCCGAAAAAATCGATCCTCCGAGCGGTGGTCAGGTACACACTCCCGCCCCTCGGAACAGCCAACTGCCCTGTTCACTTCTGGTAGTGTCCCGAAGAGAGGGCGGGGAAGCACAGCACGCGCGGCCAGGACAGCCGCACCACTGGATGGGTATTCCTGGACGCCTGAATCAGAGATGCAGCAATTAATCGTGAGCTGGATGGTCACAATCGCAGTCCATATAGGCAGAGACAGGACACCTGCGCACAGACAACAAAAATTGAAAGCCCAAGGTCCAGGTCAGCCGACATCAGTCCGGACATCAGGGCTGCGGTGCAGTGGAGACTGCAGGACCTGGACACACCTCAGTATCCCCACACACGCGATCGCAGCGGCGGGGCGCTCGGGGGGAAAATGAGTGCGTGAATTGCGCAGCGCATTTCGGCAAACCGAGGCTTGAGCCAAAACGGCTATATGCACCCTCCTCCTCCTCCTCCTCCTCCTCCTCCTCCTTCGCCCTCCCTTTTCCTCCTCCTCCTCCTCCTCCTTCGCCCTCCCTTTGCCTCCTCCTCCTCTTCGCCCTCCCTCCTCCCCCTCCTCCTTCTTCTCCTCCTCCTCGCCCTGTCTCCCTCTCTCTCCCTCCTCCTCTCCCTCTCTCCTCTCCTCCTCCTCCTCCTCCTCCTCCTCCTCCTCCTCCTCCTCCTCCTCCTCCTCCTCTTTCCTCCTCCTCCTCCTCCTCCTCCTCCTCCTCCTCCTCCTCCATCCTCCTCCTCCCCCCTCCTCCTCCTCCTCCTCCTCTCCTCCTCCTCCTCCTCCTCCTCCTCCTCCTCCTCCTCCTCCTCCTCCTCCTCCTCCCTCCTCCTCCTCCTCCCTCCTCCCTCCTCCTCCTCCTCCTCCCTCCTCCCTCCTCCCTCCTCCCTCCTCCCTCTCCCTCCTCCCTCCTCCCTCCTCCTCCTCCTCCTCCTCCTCCTCCTCCTCCTCCTCCTCCTCCTCCTCGCCCCCTCCCTTCCTCTTCTGCTGTGTCCTCTCTCTCTCTATCTGCCCAGGGGGGGCGGCGGGCGCGGCCTCGCCCCAGGGGCAGGGCCCCTGGCACAGCGCCCGGAGCTGGTCCCGGCAGGCCTGCGGGCGGGCCCCCCCCCCCCGTTCGCGCGGGGGGGCTCCGCGGAGCGCAGGGGCACCCGCAGGAGCCGGCGGTTTGATGTCGGGCGTGTCCCCCCTACAGGGGGAGCTTCGACGAAAAATTTAAAAAATACCCCAAACATACCCCAAAAAGGTCAACAAAATAATCAAAAAACAGTCCCCAGACCATTTGTAGACTATTTGTTTACTATTTTGGGGGTATGTTTTATTTCTCGTCGGGCGTCCCCCTACAGGGGGAGCTTCGACGAAAAATTTTAAAAAGACTATAAAGAGGTCAACAAAATACACTCAAAAAAAAGTCCCCAGACTCTTTGTGGACTATTTGTTTTACTATTTTGGGGGTATTTTCGATTTCTCGTCGGGCGTCCCCCGACAGGGGGAGCTTCGACGAAAAATAAGTTTAAAACAATACTCCAAAAAGGTCAACAAAATACTCAAAAAAATAGTCCCCAGACTATTTGTGGACTATATTTGTACTATTTTTGGGGGTATATTTTCATTTTTCGTCGAAAATCCCCCTGTAGGGGGACACGCCCAACCTAACGGTAGTTCCCACATTGAAGGCGCCATAGGACACACACACAGATAGATACATATAAATGCCAACATTCCCCACTGTTTCTCGTGTCTTCTGGGTTTTTCTGTTTATTGCCTGCCGCCGCACTCCCCATGTTTTCCCATCTTTTCCTGGGAATCGACGATTCTTTGTGTCTGTGTGCTTTTCCCCTCCTGACAAATGGGATTCTGATGGTGGGCGTTTTTTTATTCGGCGTTTCGACATTGGGCAGAAAGGGGGGGAGGGGGAGGTGTCCGGCTCTGGACCTCTGCTCAGTGCGACTATCTGCGGCGGTGCGTCCCATGGGGGAGGGACTCCGCCTGCTCGACACAGCCAGGATCCACTCCAGGGGGGGGGAGAGGAGGGGGGGTGCGAGGGCCCGCGCCGATAGGCAAAAGACTTCATAAAAAAAAACGCTCCCATGGGATGAGGTCCTAAAGACGGGGTGTTGCAATGCAAATCCACCCCTGGATCCCTCCCTATCCTCAGGACCCCACTCCAGGGGGGGGGAGAGGAGGGGGGGTTCGAGGGCCCGCGCCGATAGGCAGAAGACTTCATAACAAAAAACGCTCACGTGGGATGGGGTCCTAAAGACCTCCTCCTCCTCCTCCTCCTCCTCCTCCTCCTCCTCCTCCTCCTCAATGCAAATCCACCCCTGGATCCCTAATTACCCATCCTCAGGACCCCATCCCTCGGGGCCCCACCTTTGAACCACCGAAAGGGGGACGTGCACGCCTTTGGCCACGCACCGTCGAGGCGTGTCAGAAGGACGCGCGTCGGCGGCGAGCGAAGGGAACTTCGGGGCTCGAAGCTCGAGGCTCGAGGCGTTGTTTCGCGCTTTTCGCAATGCTTTCGGGCCCCCGGGATCCCCCAAACCGGATCGGGGGTGCAAGTTCGCGTCGGGTGGAAGGGCCCAGAGATCAACTTTGACAGATAATTCGGCGGCGCGCCCAAAAGGGAGGCCGAATGAGAAGGCGGAGGCCTTCTCGCAAGGCGGCGGAGCTTCTCAGAGGCCCTCGCGCCTTCTGAGAGACCTCCGAGCCTCCTGGAAGGCGGGCCCCTTCTCACTTCCCACTCGGGCTCGCCGCCGCGGTGAGGATGCCATGGCCTCGGACGGCCATGTCGATCGGGAGTTGCGCGGCCAGCGAAAAAACTGCCAACAATGAGCCGCAGGATGCAAGGGTGGCCTTGGAAATTCGCTCGTCCGCACGGTGCACCTGTGCACGAGCACGGCCCCCCACGCCGCGAGGCCAACCTCGTGCTATGCGCGTCCGCGCAATTCGCATGTTCGAAACCGACGTGGGTTCATCCAAGGGGCCCCTGGACACACAAATAAATACACACCAATAACAGGATTCCCTATATTTTCTGTTTTTGTTTTTGTTTGCTTTCCCCCCCCCCTTCCCATATTCTCCCATCTTTTCCTGGGAATCGACGATTGCTTGTGTCTGTGTGTTTCGCTCCCCTCCTGATTCGTGTGCGTGCAGGTCCTTGTTTCGCTCCCGGGGTGAGCAGAGGGAGAAGCGCCAGGGCGGGCGGCGCCACAGGACCCGCACAGGGGAAGCACACCGGCCGCACCGACACGGCCGAACGCAGCCGCCTGCGAGACAGCCAACCAAAACCGCGGACACGCTCTGAAACTCACGCCCGGCCCTGGCTGCCAGGGCCGGGCGTGAGTTTCAGAGCGTGTCAGGGCCTGGCACGAGGGGGGGCGACAAGGAGGGGATCGGCTCAGGTGGGGGGGGGGGGGGCAGCGAGCTGGAATCGGTTGTACACCACCCACAGATCAGCGATGGGTCCCCCATGTCGATCGAAGGCGTGCGCTCCTGGGCGGGGTGGGCTACCGAGCCCCTGTCGGCACCCACTGAGCGAGTGGGGGTGGAGGAGCGCGCCGAGTCCGCCGGCCGGTCGGCCAGCGGGCCCCCCTGGGGGCAGCTCGGGTGGGCTGGGGCCCGGTGACCGTACTTGCTGGACGAAGGCCCGTGTCCCAACGGAGTCGGAGCCGGAGTCGAAGAGGTGGGAAAGGACCAAGAATCGGAACGCACGAGAGAGCCCACAAGGAACGGGCAGGGAAGGACCCGAGCAACTCCGAGCCCTCACCGAAACCAGATAAGGGAGGTTCGTTCCGCGGCCTTGGCCGCACCCTTTCGGTTCCTCCTCCCAGAGGGGGGAGGAAGAGGAGGAGGATGAGGAGGAGGAGGAGGAAGAGGAGGAGGGATGGAGGAGGAGGAGGAGGAGGAGGGGAGGAGGAGGAAGAGCAGGATGGAGGAGCAGGAGGAGGAGCGGGGAGTAGCAGAGGAGGAGGAGGAGGAGGAGGAGGAGGAGGAGGAGGGAGGAGGAGAGGAAGGGAGGAGGAGAGGAAGGAGGGAGGAGGGAGGGGGGGGATGGGGGGGGGGGTGGGGGGGGAGGGGGGGGGGCCGGGGGCTTCAGGGCTACGCTCGCGCTCACAGGCTTCCCACAGGCAGCCTGCATGCTCTTTTGACAACGGCGCTGGCGGTCGCAGAGCGCGCGCAAGACCGGGCGGGCTCCGCGCGGAACGAGCTGTGCCCAGCACGCAGGTATCGGCGGCGAGCGAGGGGTGGAGATGGAAAGGAGGAGGCATTCTCAGAAGGCGGCGGGGCTTCTCGGAAGCCCTCGCGCCTTCCGAAAGGTTTTCTGTGCCTTCGGGGAGAGCGTATACACTTCTCAAAAGGCCGGGGGACTTCCGAGCCTTCTGCGAAGGCCCGCCCCTCCTCACCTCCCTCCCTCGCTCGCCGCCAAAGATAGAAGAGGCGAGGAGGCAGCAGAGGGAACACACAAGGCGCAGGAGCGCGAGCAGGGAGCGGCCACTGCACGCGTCGGGCCGGCGGCCAGGGGCGGCTCACGCAGGATCTGCGCGGCTGCGATGCAAGTGCGACTGTCGGTAAGGGGGGGGGCAGTGGGCCCAGGGGGTCACCAATTGCTACAGTCGGCCTTGATTGAAGAGGACACGCGAGAGGGCACAAAACCCTTCCGAGGGCCACATCGCCATTGGAGTGTAAGAAGGCACGCGTCGCGAGGCACAGGACAGACACAAGGGTACCCTTCGGCCACACGCAGGAGTGACCCTGGGTAAGAGTGGCCTTTGGTGCGCGACCTTTTGGGAGCCGCGGGGGGACCAAACCTGGGCGCGCAGGCAGCCTCGACTGCCTCGTTTTCAGCCACCTGGGGACCCATCTGTGCCCGCACGAGAGGTCACTCCGGCGAAAGGTCACTCTTTAAAACGACACGAAGATCGGGACAAAATCGGAACGCTCTGGAACGCTCTGGAACGCTCTGGAGCGATTTATCCCGATCCTAGCCCTGTTTTACTCTTACGCCCAGAGCTGGCAGGGTCGACCCACTAATCTGGGCCGCCTGCATCGCTCGGTTGCCGGTGCGGTCGACGGCGCGTGCCGCCTGGCGCGGCGTCCGTCTGGTGTCCGTTCCATGGGAGCCTGCGTGGCCCCTGGCACTGTCCAACTTGGGCCTGATCTGGACCGGATCTGGAACACATTTGGACCAGATTGGGACGAGACTTGGACTGGCTTCGTGGGGGCTGGGAGAACGAGGAGGGGCAGGGGGACCAGGAGGGGAGAGGAGGAGCAGAAGGATGGGCCAAACGTGGCCCCCACGCTGTCCACATGCAAGAAAAGCTGATTTCAATGTCTTGAGCAGGGACCGACCGTCCCGGCGTTCCTATTGTCCTACCACGAAATGTTCTTAGACCCCAAAAATGTGATAAAAAACAAGACAGTCCCAACCAGACACGTTCTGAGAACATGCCGTGGGAACCACAAAAGGTTCTCAGAACATGGTCTGGTGGGGCCACAGGCGAGCCAGGACGCTTCGCCACTGCTCGACTGCCGCCGCCCAGGGCTCAGGAGGAGGAGGAGGAGGAGGAGGAGGAGGAAGAGGACAGGAAGAGGAGGAGGAGGAGGAGGGGGAGGAGGAGGAGGAGGAGGAGGAGGAGGAGGAGGAGGAGGAGGAGGAGGAGGAGTCGAACGCCCAGGGCGCCGAGGCCGCGGCCCTGCGCTCGGGCGGCGGCGCTGCGCGGCACGGCCCGGGAGAACGGCGGGGGCTCGCCCCGGGCTGCTGCAGCCGACGGCGCCTGGTGGGCAGCAGCCTGCACACACTCTCGTGGGAGCGGTGCCCCAACAAAAGATGCCACGATTTCGGGCTTACTTTTTTCCTGCAAAACTCCTTTCCAATCAAACGTTCTGTGACCGAAAACTCACCAGCGATGGCGCGAATAGGGTCGCAGGAAAAATCAAAGCAGGAATGGGCGCAGCAGGAGTCGGTAGAGAGAGGGCGAGAACGACGCTCGGGTCGGGCGAGAGGGGGGGATAGCAAAGGGGGGGGGTTGAGTATCAGCTCGCGTAGCCGATTTTCCCGGCGCCTCCCTGGCGCCAGAGGCGGCCCACGCATCGAGGAATGGGCCCCTCGGTGGGCCGAAACCAGCTGCACGCAGCAGATTTCGTACCCCCCCCCCTTCCCAATCCCCCCCCCTTTCGTCCGGCCCGACACGCGCGTGGGCCTGAACAGTCTGTCTCTGTATCCGAAGGAGCTGCCCCGTCGGGCGGGGATCGCAGTGAGCCGCTGGTGGCTCGCAGTGTTTCAGAAGACGAACATCGGGGATGGACAGACCCCCCTGTAGTAGAACGTGGTTTCGTGAAAACGACCTGAGGCCCAAACCTGGCGGGCGCAAGCCTGGAAAATAACGGCCACGGCGCCCTCTCGAGAACCGAAAACGGACAATGCACTAATCGACGCGTCACTGTTGGGGGTTCTGTCCACCCCCGAGCACAGCACAGACACAAACGATCGGAGGTCCGCACGGATGTCGGGTTGCCCCTGAGCCCACGAGAGGCGGCGGGCGCCGCCAGAGGGGCCAAGCGACGATCGGAGAGATCCGCGACGACTCCCGAAAAGATACGTACGCTTGTCCAGCTCGTTATGCTTCGCAGTATGTGGTCTTGGGCAGCTGCGAGCTTGTGCGCTGCAGCATACCGCACTGCGGGGGCGCTCGCCCTCCATTCCCTGGAGGTCTGCCAGGCGTCACTGCGGGGTCCCCGCGAGTCCCTCATCACGCGGTGGTCACCACTCCGTTTTGAGGCCTTCGAGAGGCGGGGGAAGAAGAGGAGCTGAAGGTAAGGGCCCTTCAGTGAAGGAGGAGGAGAAAGAGTACGGCAGGTTCGTGTCGTGCCGACCCCAGCGTTGGTTTTTGACACCGCAGGGATCGTTCAACCTTGAACGATCGGCCGCTGCCGCAACGTCCGATCGTTCAACATCGATCGATTCTGGGTCGCCGGCGGCGTTCAACCTTGAACGCCCGCACTGGGGTCGCCGCTGGTCGACACGACGCAAACCTACCGTAGGAGGGGGAGGAAGAGAACCAAGAGCCTGTTTTCCATTACTCGCGATGATGCCAGGCCCCGCCCCCCCCTCCCCCCCTCCTCCTCCTTCCCCTCCTCCTCCTCCTCCTCCTCCTCCTCCTACCTCCTCCTCCTCTCTCCTCTTCCTCCTCCTCCTCCTCCCCCCTCCCCAACCCCCCTCCCCCCCCCCTGGTCAGGCCACTAGTCCAGACGGCGCCCGCGCTAATGGCGACGCGACCGGCCCCACTCCCCTCCCTCCTCCCGCCCAGTCACGTCCGTTTTGTCGCCAGGAAAGCAGACAGTATAGGAGCAGGAGGAGGAGGAGGGTAGGGAGGAAGGAGGAGAGGAGGATGAGGAGGATGAGGAGGATGGAGGATGAGGAGGAGGAGGCCGAGGAGGAGGCGGAGGAGGAGGACGAGGAGGAGTAGGAGGAGGAGCCCCCTCCCCCACACAGGTCACGCCCGTTGTCGCGAGGATAGCCAGACAGAGGAGGAGGACGAGGAGTAGGACGAGGAGGAGGAGGAGGACGGGGAGGAGGAGGAGGCGGAGGAGGAGGCGAAGGGTAGGACGGGGAGGATGAGAGCTGAGAGTAGGCGAAGGAGGAGGAGAGTCGGAGTGTGAGGAGGAGGAGGGGAGGTATGATTAATGATTATTTTAGATGAGGTAGGAGGACGCCGAGGAGGATGAGGAGGAGGAGGAGGAGGAGGAGGAAGAGGAGGGAGCAAGAGACGAGCCGTGGAGGCGGCAGCCTGCCAGTCCACGCCCAGCTGCCGCACGGCCCGCCGGGAGAAGACCTCGATCGGGCCGCGCAGGCCGTACTTGCCTCCACCCGGGCGCCGGCACAGCCGCCGTCAAGGGGGGGGGGTGCAGGAGCAGTCCGGTCAGGTCAGGTCGGGTGGCCATACGCTCGGTGGCGCGTCGGCGGGCGCAACGTGCGTCAGGGCTGTCCGCTGGGCCTGGGCTTCGAGAGGAGGAGGAGGGGGGGGAGGAGGAGGAGGAGGAGGAGGAGGAGGAGGAGGAGGAGGAGGAGGAGGAGGAGGAGGAGGAGGAGGAGGAGGAGGAGGAGGAGGAGGAGGGGGAGGGGGAGGAGGAGGAGGAGGGGGAGGAGGAGGAGGAGGAGGAGGAGGAGGAGGAGGGAAAATTGAGCACGCGCGAAGGGTAAGAGGTACGCACGACGAGCGAGCACGCGAGGCCAGTCGGAGCGAGGGAGGGACGAACGGCAAAGGGGACGACACAGGGACACGCGAGAGAGGGGCGACACTTGGGCGGCTTCCTCTGGCGCCGCTTCGTCACGCCAAACGCTCCACTCAGCCACGGCGAGGGGGGAGGAGGGCAGGGAGAAGAGACGCGCGCGATGCCGTGAGCCCGGTAGGGCGCGCATGTACCTTCACGCGCTCTCTCAAAAGGTGCTCGTCTTGAATGAGATCTTCCCATCTACGACCGTCCCCAGCGAGTAGAACGGCGCACTGATGCAGGGAGAGGCTTCGAGGTTCGAATTGAGAAGGACTTCCTGAAAGGTCTTCGTAAGAACGGGTCAGGCTGATTACGCCCGACTCAAGAGCCATTAAGCCAGAGTAGACCAGATCCAGACCAAATATGATCCAGAGTGAGAAGGATTAAGTGGGATCACGCTGGATTAATCGGTATTGCTCCCGATGAAGCGGGAAGAGGAAGGGACAGGGGTCGAGCAAAACATCGCTTTGGGTCTGATGTTCGTTTCGTTCTCTTTGTGAAGCGTCTTGACGGTCCGACGGATTGCACGGAACAGCGTTTTGGCGCAGATCCGAAGTCGTGATGGGCCAACGGTGGGCCCTAGAATGAACACCGAATGAAAACGAGGAGAAAGCGTAAACGATCCACGAGACTGCCAAAACAACGTTTTGTCGGGGATGGACAGACCTCCCTTTAGTAAAACGTGGTTTAGTGAAAACGACCTGAGGCCCAAACCTGGCGGGCGCAAGCCTGGAAAATAATGGCCACGGCGCCCTCTCGAGAACCGAAAACAGACAATTCACTAATCGACGTGTCACTGTTGGGGGTTCTGTCCACCCCCGATTTTGGTCGACCTCTGGGAGGGCGTTCGAGACTCGCAGCTCGGAGGCTCGAGGACCAGACTTGATCGGCGGCCGGGGGCGAGGCCGAAGCGGAAGGGTATCTTGGCGGCGCGAACAGGGTCAGGGGGAGAGGGGAGGGCTTCTCAGAAGCACCACTGATTCTTAGGAGGCGCGGGCCTTCTCTGTAGATGTAGAGCTGGCGCCTTCTAGGAAGCAGCCTCCTTCTAAGAAGCCTTCCCCTCTAAGAAGCCTTCCCCGCTCCCCCTATCCCCTTTGCGCGCCGCCAAGTATCCCTCGATCGAGAGATCGCTTTCGGTTTCGGTTCGTGCCGCGCGTACGGGCGAGGCGAAGCTGGGCGAGTTCCTGCACTGCACCTGCAGTCATCATGCTGCCAGTAGGAACACATAATCAAGAACGAATGGCCACGGCTGGTCTAGGCCACACGTAAGTTTCGCGACAAAAAATCTAAGGAACCACTCGAAAACCCTGGCCACTCCGGAGCCCAAGGCCATCCTTATTTCAGCGTCCTGACTGTGGGCCCAGGTCGCGCCGAAGGGAATCGATTCCCCGTGCGCCGGGGCGTGCGCAAATGTGTCCCGCGGCTTGCCTGCGGTTGTCCCGTGGTTTGGAGGCCTGGAAATGGGCACCAACACCAAGACAGGGGGCTGCCTCAACAGGGAGGATATGGTCCTCGATTTCGGTGTGGGTGGTAATATTTCGGTCACCTTGGAAGCCAGAATATTACCACCATCGCCGAGATCGGGATCTTTCTTCCCTCAGTGGAGGAACACCGCCGATATTGGTGTTGGTGTCAATCTCTAGGCCTGCGATTGGTTGTCCGACCCGTCGTTGTTCCGTGGTTGTTGCGTGGCTCTCCCACGGGTGTCCCGTGGTTGTCCCGCGGTTGCCCGTGGGGTTGTCCCCGCGGTTGTCCCGTGGCTCCCGCGGCTGTCACGACTACAAAGAGACAGATACTGGGCCGTAAATCCACCGACCGTCGGCGTGTGTGAGCGGCTTTTCAACTCGAAGCGTCGTCCTCGTCGTCGTCGTCGCAGTCACCGCTCCCCCCTGTCCCTGCCGGAGGGCCCTCCTTTCCAACGCACCAGCCAAACGGACAGGAGAAAAGGAAGGTCATCCTCGCGTCGAAGGGAAGCCCCTCCTCTTCACTCCCTCCCCCGCGCTGGAGGAATTTGGAAGGATGGGGGTGGTGAAGGGGGGGGGGGTCCCGGGGGTTGTGACCCCCCCTGGGGGGGGGCACCCCTCCCTGGGAGAAGCTCTCCCCATCTCCGAGCAGGGACCGACCGTCCCAGCATTCCTATGGGCCTACGACGACATGCTCTTGGAACCCGAAAAATGTTCTCAGAACATTGTTTGGTAGGCCTATGGGCACGCCAGGACGCTTCGACACTGCTTGACATCTCGATTCCTTGCCTCCGAGGCGCCTCGGACTCCCCCTTCAGGGCCGGCGGCAGCGGACGAAAGGCCTTCACAATAGAGTGTGAGATCGGTGTGAAAATCCGCCGGCCCCCTTTTTGTTGGGCCAACAGGCTGCGGGGCTGTGGCTTGCTGCTCCCTGCGCCAGTTCCAGCTTCCAGCTTCCAGTGTGACGGTTTTACTTTCTGCTTCCTACGAGACCCAAACAACCCCACACCACACCCTCCGAGTGATCTCCAAATTCCAGGGGGGGGTCGTGGGACACGTAAGAATCAGTACATGAGACTCGCGCCCCAAAAACAATAACTCCTTGTAGATTACACTATTTTCGCGTGCCCGAGGCCGTACACTGTCGTAAATTACATCGTATTCGCGTCCCCGAGGCCAACATCCTTTGTAAATCATATCATAGTTGCGTCGCCGACGCCACACACCATCGTAAATGACCCGCACTCGCATCCACGAAGCCACAACCCCTGGTTAATTATACAATACTTACATCCTCGAGGCCAAAATCTTTTTGCACATTAAACAACACCTGCGTCCCCGAACCTTAATACCTAAACAATTACATGGCAATCGCGCCCTCAAAGCAACGATCCCTTGTAAAATGCATAACGTATGCGCCCCCGAAGCCATACGCACTAAAAGATTACACCAAAGTTGTGTCCCCGAGGCCAAAACCCCTGGTGAAGTGTACAATGTTCGCGCCGGGACCACGTTATCTAGCGAATTGCGCCGTACTCGTGCCCTCGAGGCAACGATTCCTAGCAATTTGTGCCAGGGTCGCGTCCCGGAAGCGACGGTCCCTTGTAAAAAAACGCCGAGGAAGCCGAAGACCGTCCAAAACACGCGATTTTGCCAAACGCGGCCTCAAGCAGCCCACAGTCGTTCCAAGAAGGCCTCCGGGACACAGCACGAGGGGAAGTCCGAACAAGGCAACACAAAGTTCAACAATCTCATCTGAATCTCAATGTGTCTTGAAGATTACAAGTCATCCTCGGACGAGGTTGCGATGATGATGCTTCACGACGGCGCCCAGGCATCCCAATATAGCTCCTGCATAATATCCCATGATGGTAGAGAGGGCGGCGGAATCAGAGGGCTAAGCCCTAAAGGAAATCGATAAGAAGATGGAGCGACCGATTGATGCTGAGAACCACTGGTAAATCGTTCCAGCCCTCTGGTGGCTTAGGGAATTCGTTACTCCAACCTGCTTCTCCTCGTTGGTGTGCACCCCCTCCCCCAGATGACCGGCGGCAAACGCGGAACCATGACGACCCTCTCTCTCCACACCATCCCTGACATTCCGCCGACCCCAGCTTGCCGGGGCTGTCCCCGTCCCCCTTTCCAACTCCCCTCGGGTCTGAAATCAGATTCGTGGGGGGGGCAGGGGGGGAGGGGGCCACGGCCGACCAGCATCACTTCCCAGCCACCTCCCCCCCCTTTCGGTCGTACCTCCAAGCTGCGAGTTCAAAGCTCCTGTCTTGATTCTCCATCTCTCGCATATGCTTGAGCTCTGCGCCGTCCCTGCTGTTGACTCTTTCGTAGAAGAACCTGAAGGATCCTCAAAAAGCTGAATTCCAGAATCCCAAGATTAACAAAAGCAACACACACATTTTGAATTTTCAAGTCAAAACATCGGTAGCCACCAACTTTTCTTCAAAACAAGAATTTGAGAAAGCGTTCAAACAAAACTGCTACTTTGCCTGATCCTTGGTTCCCCAGATCCTGGGCTCAAGTGAATCCCAGGAACCATGCATCAGGCAAAGTAGCAAGGTGTTCCCTCAAACGAAAAGTAACGATTGTTTCAAACTATTTTGCGAATTTGCCTTATCCATGGATTTCGAAATCTTGGGCCCAAGTGAATCCCAGGAACCAGGGATTAGGCAAACGTATCACAACAATTATAAACAAATCTGAGTGAAGGGGCCGAGCGGTCATTCACTGTCCCTGCGTGCGTGGCTGAAAAAAAAGAATTTGTGATGAGAATTCTGTGTTGTTTAATGTCGTCGCCGTCCCACCCGCGACCACCCCGCGACCCAACCCGCGACCCACCCGCGACCCACCCTGCGACCCACCCGCGACCCACCCGCGACCCACCCGCGACCCACCAGGCGACCCACCCGCGACCCACCCGCGACCCATCCGCGACCCATCCGCGACCCACCCGCGACCCACCCCGCGACCCACCCCGCGATCCACTCGCGACCCACCCAGCGACCCACCCTCAAAGGAGGAAAAAAACACCTGGACTAGACAATTGACGTTTACTAAACGGCCATTGGCGTTGACTACAAAACCCCCCCTATTCGATTCATTCCTTCTGTGCGTT